CTTAAGTGTCAGTCTTAGAGCTGATTTACGACACTTTGCTGTGCTGCAAAGCTGATCCTGGGTGACGTCGTTACACCCCACCCCACCCCACCCCCGGCATGGACCAATCACTGCATCGGAGTTCATTTTTGAAAATATTATCTGATAAATGTCAAGATAAAATTGTGAAAATTTTTGATATAATTTGGCACAATAACATTACATACATGTTATGTTGTACTGATTGTAAATTACACAGATTGTCCTCATTTGGCATGAATAAAAAGATATTAAGAAAATCTCTTCGATTTTTTTTCCAAAAACTCATTTTTAAAGTGTTTTTTTTACATCACCAAGCTTGAGAAAATCTTAAGTACGCACTCTTCTCCTCCTCCTCGGCTCTCCACTAAACTGTCTGCGTACAGCACCCACGTCACACACACATAGGCACCCACATACCATATTTCTCTATCCTTGTGGGGACTTTCCATTGACTTCCATTCATTTTTGTTAATTTAATACCCTGACCATTTATCCTGAAATTAACCTCACAGGTACCTGAGCCTAAAACTAACTTAAACTCAGTTCACACCTTGCTCTTAAACACCACCCCCCCCCCCACACACACACACACACAGGTTTGCACAGCTATACATTTGGGGACATTCTATTGACTTCCATTACATTTCTACAGCCTAACCCTGACCACAAACCCTAAGGCTAACCTCACAGGTATCTTACCTGACCCTAAAACTAACCTAAACTCAATTCACACCTTGGTCCTAAACCCAACCTCCAACCCACCAATATCATTTAAACCAAATGGGGACTCGACTTTTGTCCCCAAACGCACCAGTTGTCCCCAAAGGAAGGCATTTTGTCTTAAAATTGTCCCCAAATGTCACCAGAAACAAACACACACACACACACACACAGACACACACACGCACTGCCCTGTTCCAACATTTTCCACTATATCCATCCAAAAGTGAGAGTATTGTGGGCTTTATTTAAATTGCATTTATAAGTTTATTACTGAGAATAACACTCAGGTGAGGGATCCAGGTGTAGCTCTGTCTTCTCAGTGCCATCTTACCCAAGTGGCAACAATTAACCTGTTGAGAGACCTCTGGAGCTCTCTTAAATATCCTTAGTCTTAAGAATTAGGATAACTGGCATTAAATCTAAAAGTAGGAGTAAATTTAAGAAATTCTGAAGCCTTAAATCCAACAATCCGCTCTGAGAAGTTTGATAAATATGGACCCAGGAGTGTATGATTTGCATCCTCACTGACCAAACATTCTCTGTGTCTAATGTTTCCACTTTGTCATTTACAGGTTTCTCCATCTTTATTTGCTTTGTTTTGTCGTTGAATGGGACCAAAGTCTCCATTGAGCAGAGCACTGAATTGTCCACCACCAACAGCAGAACCTGAGCTCACACAGCATCTCTGCATCTGTCCACAGTTCAGAGTTAGGTCATGCTGCCTGTGTTCTGTTATACTGATAAACTGTATTCATCACTGTAAAAAATAAAATGTTGGATTTACTTAACCATGTTATGTTACCTGGTTCCACTTAACTGAGTTGAGTAAATTCAAAGCAATATACCAGTTTTTTAGCCAAAGAACATGAGTATGTTGCTTTGAATTTACTCAACTCAGTTAAGTGGAACCATGTAACATAACATGGTTAAGTAAATCCAACATTTCATTTTTAGAGTGGTTAGATAGACTCTGCCTCTTGGTTCTGTCTCATCCCTGTGATGTTCTTCTTGACATTTCTTTTGGAAGAAATTGTTAATTATCAATAAACTGGATCTTCCTGTCTTCCTTATTGTTTTGTGCCATGACACTGAATGCTAAGTAGATGGTATGAATACTAATATAAATGTGTTATTTCAGTTTTATAAGTACTTTTTTATGATGTTTACACAGTTACAGTTCTGTTTTCACTTTATTATGAGATATTAGACATAAAAAAAGATTATATCACCAGGCTGCAATATAACAAAATTGAAAAAAGAGGTCTAACTGTATGTGAATACTTTGTGAGATACCKTTTGTCTGTTTTATTGAATTGATGTTCCTATTTTATATTTTTGTCTTATATCATGGGACTGATGTTATCTAGTATGTTAATTGTGTCTTATTTATTTATCTGTCTTATGTATGTATTGTTCTTTGGTCTTCTTTGCTTGTTTTAGGTTCTCAATATAAATGAGCAAATAATATAATCCATTCATCCATCTATTTTYATTGCCTGCTATCTATTCTAAGTTGGAGCTTCTGTTTGTTATTATCAGTCAYTGTGCAAGCAGCAGGGTAAACAGCAGTGATAGGATTACAGCCTTTTTAAAGATTTTTGTTTGTTTGTTTGTTTGTTTTTTGGATGCGGACTCACTAAAGAGTTGGCTCTTTTGGCTCACAAATTGCTCCTCACATTTTTTTCTTGCCTATTACCAAAGTATGTGTAAAATAAATTACTAATGTAAAAATATACAATATATTAAATGTTTATTAATATGACACAGCAAAAAATAAGCAACAGCTTCCAAAATCATGAGCACCAGAGACAGTGATAAGTGCCTTTAAAGAGGGAACAACAGCTAACAACAACCCTAATTCCAATGAAGTTGGGACGTTACGTAAAATGTACATAAAAACAGAATACAATGATTTGCAAGTCATTTTCTACTTACAAGATATTTAATCTTCAAACAGATAAACTTTATTCTTCACACTTGTGAAGAAAAACCGTCCACCATTAAACAGAGGTAGAGGCCTTTGTGTCCGGTTGTCCTCCTCCTACAATGCTGGTATTGCACACATGACTCAGCCCCCTGTGAGMAAAAGGTGTGAATCAGATCCCCAACGATAGTCAGGGGATGGAGCACATGGCCCTCTATGAACAATAGAGCTAATCAAGGCACTAACTATATACAGTATTGTTTGGCTGATGGTCCTCTTTTGCATRTGACCAACCTTTTTGTCCACCATGTGGAGGCAGTGATAATAAGGCCACCTGAGTTCACCTGAAACTCATCAGACTGAAGAAGTCTCTTGGAGGAGAGACAAAATGTTTCATTAAAGAAGAACCCACTCAGAGGACCTACTGCCTTGGTGCATTTTTAGAACCAGCCTTTAAACACTAGTGATGTGGCACTTTAAGTCCCACCTACTCCCTCACACACAACCACTGTTATACGTATAAACTTTATTAAAACATGAGACAACATCTAAACATGAAGGAACTAAGAATATTAGAACATAAAGCAGCAAAGTAAGAACAGTGTTAATCATCGRGTCATTATAAAAAATAAATGTG